CCAAAAGCTCTTGAGCAATCCGGAATAGATCCTCATGCTTCTGGCGCTCTCCAAAATAGTACGATTCATACGCTCCGCCACTCTGTTGTGCTGAGGTGTGTCTGGGACGGTCTTCAGTCTCCGAATCCCATGGGACGAGCATAAGTTCTCGAACTCCTGGCTGTAATACTCGCCTCCATTATCGGATTTTAGGCACTTCAGCTTATTACCTGTTTCATTTTCCACATAGGCAAGCCACTTCTTGAATATGATGAAAACATCTGACTTGTGCTTCAAGAAGAACACCCACAGCTTTCTAGTAGCATCATCAATAAAAGTGACAAAATAAATAGAGTTGCCAATAGATGGGACTTACGTAGGTCCCCATACGTCGGTGTGCACCAACTCTAATTTCTGCAGTTTTGGAGCCGGTCCGATCTTATTGAACCTCACATTCTTTTGTTTGCCTAGGATGCAGTCCTCACAGAAAGTCAGATCGATTTTGTTCAGATCCGGAAGCCTCTCTCCCGCGGCCATAATCTGCATCCCCTTCTCGCTCATGTGGCCAAGTCGTCGATGCCAAGTCATGCAGTCGACGGATAATGATGATGATGATGCTTGTCCTACGACAAGCAAGTGGTCGATTTTCCCGTTGGCGATGTAGAGAGACCCCTCGCGTTTGTCGTGTGCCACCATCAGGGCACCCTTAGACACCTTCCAGCTTCTCTGCTCGAAGGATACTCTGTAACCGAAGTCAGTCAATTGCCCGACTGATATAAGATTTCTCCTGAGATCCGGTACATGTCGAACATCATTCAGCATCAAGGTGGTCCCGCCCTCCATCTTGAGGGTACAATTTCTCTTTCCGAAAACCTTACAAAGTTGATCGTCGCCAAGATAAACTATCCCTAACTCCTTCACGATCGATGAAAGCAGCTTTTGTTGTGAGGTTGCATGGAAAGATGCGCCAGAGTCGATGACCTACGCATCACTTTTGTCTTCTAAGGATAGGAGAAGTGCATCCGAATCCGTCTCGTGCATGAGATTGGCTGCATCGTCAGCCCGATCATCCCCTGCTGATGCTGGAACAGAAACTCTGCAGTCCCGTGCAAAGTGACACTTCTTTCCGCATCTGAAGCACTTCCCTTCACCGTAACCATTCGGGTTTGGCTCTTTAGACTTCCCTCTGGATTTTGATTGGCCTCATTGTCCCCTACCCTTCTTCTGCACACGCCCTCGTGTCTCGACATGCAGAGCACTCCCATTGCTAGAGGCCTCAGTTCCTGAGACTTTACGGCGAGATTCTTCATCCAGAATTGCCCCAACCACTGTGTCGAGCTTCATCTTGTCATTACCATTAGCGTTGCTCACCGTCATCAGTCATCACCATATTCTCCTATGAATCTGGTAGACAAGAAAGTAGCAGAAGAGCTTGGATCTCATTGTCGAACTTGAGATTTACTGCAGCAAGCTGTTGCACAACAGCCTGAAATTCATTCAAGAAGTTCGCCACGCGAGCTTCTTGCTGCATCTTCAGATTGAATAGCTTCTTCATCACGTACACCTTATTTGAAGCAGACGGCTTCTCATACAGCGCCTCCAAGGCCTCCATCAACTCCTTGGTGGTGGTCGCATGCGAGACGTTGTAAGTCACATGCTGGTGAAGGTTGAGCCTGATGGTAACAAGTGCTTTACGATCGAGCACCTTCCACTTATCGTCGTCCATTTTCTCAGGTTTCCCCGCCTCTCCTTGGAGGGGTAGGAAGAGATCCTTCTGGTACAAATAGTCTTCTATTTGTATCCTCCAATACCTAAAATTTTGGCCGCCGAACTTCTCAATTCGAAGCCTGTTATCTTCAACTGTAGATCCCATTGCGAAAGATTACGTCTTTCACGAACCGTATTTGTGAATAGTATCGTATTCGTGAATAGTACCGTACACGTGAATAGTGTCCAATGCCTTAAAAGAGTAAATAAATCTAACTTATTTTCTGATGTAGAGGATCCACTTTAGTGGCAGCCACAGAGCATACGATAAGCAAATATATATACTCTAAGTCAGGCTCTGATACTAGTTGTTAGGTTACACCCCGATAATAACACCTCGAACGGAGACGTAATACACAAAATAAAGACACAATATTAAACACAGTACTCACAGATATACGTGGTTCACTCTTTCGGAGCTACTCCACGATGCAACGACGACGCCAAATTCTTTTATATCCCAAAATAATAGATCAAAGAGAATACCCTCTCTTGATCAGATACACTCCAAGAACTCTCACAAACTCTCTCTGTGTTTTCTCTCTTACTCTTCTATAAGAGGAGTTGTTTCTGGGATGATATTTTCTTAAGAGTTTAGGACCCTATTTATAGTGTTTGAGAAACACTATGCATAAATAAAATATTATTAGTGGGACCTGCCACTAATAATAATATATTTGTGGGACCCACATCCTTTTTTCATTTTCAAAGAAACCGGCCACCGATTTCTCAAACGTCAAAAGGAGTGGGGCCACCTTTTCTCTAATGTTAAGAAAAGGGGCAGGGGCGGCTTGACAAATAGCCCCTCTCGTTATGGGGTTATTTGCAGATGCACCTCTTGTATTATGAGGGTATTGCCCCTTATCAGCCCTGTTCCATTTTATTAGCGGGTAACCACTGGCCTTTACATCGTTATAGTTTCCTTTAGCTTTTAAACTTCCATGGAAATCACATGATGGCCAGAGCTAGACAGTTGCTAAGAAAACCCCGCCATGATTCCCACGAGAGTTTGAAGACTTACAAAATAATAATGATATTGCAAGAACCAAGGTGTTGTACGTGCCAAAAAAGTAGAACAAGAATGTTAAGTAGTTACATCTTTATAGTACATGGTGTTCATCTGCTAATAACCCTTAATTATATCCTGGTTAACCTTGCATTACAAAATGCATCAGAAAACCTCTGAGCTATTTAAAATGATTCTGGCACTTGAGCAATGTATTAGACATTAGATAAGCAATTTTTATAGAATAGAGAAAAGCAAGTTGCAGTAATACACTTCTGTCTGCCTTTCTTGATCTCTTTTTAACTTATCCCTACCCCTTGATTTCTCTAACAGACTCCTTTCTCTAAATCTCTCTAACCGTATTCTTTCTGTTGATAATTTTTAATCATCTCTCCTGTCTTATCCCAAGTAAACCTGTCCCTCTTAACTCACGTGAAATAATCATATTATCTTCTCTTGCTCGCTATTTGGAGGGGTTTCATGATGAAGTAAGCATGCAACTGCAAAGGTCTTTGTGATCTTTGGATAATGTCATTCTGAAGTATATATATGGCCTATGTTAGATGGCCCATGTAAGATCAGTTACTATAGTTCCACTCTCTTTGCAAATATTTGTACCACTGTTTCAAAAAACTGTAACTCATTGTGTTGCGTATGTAACCTAATAGGCCTTAAATGTTATGTAACCTTATAAATTACCGCAGACACATTATAACTCTACGTTATTACAATATAATATGCATTATTTCAATATAACTTACGTTAATTCAATATAACTTACGTTATTTCAATATAACATGCGTTTTTTCAATATAAGTTCTAGAGACTTGAGAGTATATCACTTTCTTACAACTTGAAGTAGTTAAGTAATTACTTATGAAATGCTTATTAAGTTTTCATGTCCTGTTGTACTGACATCATCATGTGATTTTGAAATTATGAATTTGACTTTTAAAACGAATGTAATTATGAATGAATTATAAGTTTATGATTATATATTTGAGTATCCGATTGTGATACTTCCTAGTAAATCTATTAATGTTGTATTAAATTAAAGAATTTTTATTAAAATATTTTTGTATAATGATATTAGTTCCTAATTCTTAAAATTATTATGAATATCTTTTGTACTTTTTTAAATTAAATTGTAAGAAAATATTTTGTTCCTAATTGAGATGTTATGTTTGAAAATTTTAATAATACTAATTATTAAAGTCTCTATGAGTAGATTGTACTTATAAAATATGTAAATAATTAGTAAACAAAATAACATACGTTATGCATTACATTTTTTTTTACATTTTTTTAACCCTTAACAGGAGGTAGAGCACTACATTATGCGTTATTGTTGTTTTCAACAGTGATTTGCACATTATGGTTCATATATTCAACTGATCTAATCAGTTATCTTAGATTCTTTGGTACATTGCATTAATTATGCCTAATGTTTAAGATAAAAGATAGCATGTAGTGTAACTCTGGAAATCCCGAAAGCTAACTGTATATAGCATAACACCTAGCGTGAGTTATGTGTTCGTTTTTTTGGTTTAAAATAAATATAAAAGAACTCGTAATAACTCAAAAATAGGCATAATTCAAAATATAAAAAATGTTAAAAAGATAAAACAAAAATAGAAGCTGTTCTAAGTTACTTACAAACAAAAAAAGAGAATGAGATGCCTCCTACTACCGAATTTCATATTCTCTTAATGGATATAAACTTTTAGGTATGATTGATGATCTACACAAATCACAAAGCCACACAAACTCTTAAATTTTTTTTTAATCCAACACATAAAGTCATAAACTATAAATTATAAAGTTTATTAAAATAGCATAGGTATATTGAAAAAGTAGGCATTATATTCAAACAACAAAACGCTTTTCTGAAATGCTGATACAACATGGCACCAGATAGTGTATAACCATGGGTTTCTCTGTTACATAGTGCTTTTATATCGCATTATGGAGCTTGTATTTTCAAGATTGATAATGTGTTTCATATTTATGGACGTCATTCAAAAGGGATGAAGTTTAAATGTTGGTCTATCATAATCCTATTAAAACTTGATGGCAAATCCTATGCAGCATGAAAGAGCTTGAGTCAGTTTCTTTCTGTGGCATAAGAGGTTTGCTGCTGACCATTTCATCCATTCTCTGTATATTTTGTGAGTTATCGGAGAGAAATCTTGTCACATTGACTGTGTTTTAGCAAGGATTTTTCTCTCATTACCTACCTCGTTTTCAGGTTTAGCATGGGCTATTTGTGAGCACCTAGTGGAAGTGATAAAAGCTCCTACATTGTTTGCAACTCACTTCCATGAACTGACTGCATTAGCTCATAATGATGAATCTCATGCTATATCTACCAAAGGAGTGTCTAACTATCATGTTGGGGCGCACATAGATCCATCTAATCGCAAATTAACAATGCTCTATAAGGTAAATACTTCTTTTATGAGAATTTGTATCTGTTGCCTTTACACAGTTCGTGGTTTTTATATGTTCTGTTTTCTGCTGTGAGTTAACAGCTTAACCCAGGTGCTTGTGATCAAAGTTTTGGCATTCATGTAGCAGAATTTGCGAATTTTCCTGATGAAGTTATTGCTTTAGCAAAAAGTAAGGCTGCTGAATTGGAAGACTTCTCTAACATCCCTAACATGTCTGGTGATCTGGAAGATGTAAGTAATTTAGGATCTGATCCAGCTTCATCACATCTTTTTATCAGTTTTTATTTGTTTGCAAATTCCTCTTCACATTATTTAAGTTTTATGGACTGGAGAACTTCTGTAACATGCCTAACATCCCACTTCTTTAAATATCAAATTCCTGTTCATATTATTTAGGTTTTATGAATATTGTAAACTAAAGAGTAAGATTGTATGTAGCTATTTTTTGAAAAGAGTGAGGAACCTTCATCTTGCGTTTCGGCCAGACAAATGGTTGATGTAGAAGAAAACAAGTAATATGAACAATGGAGTATAACAGACATCCTTTTTTGTTTTAGAAACTACATCAATTATCGTGTTTATCACGAGAAGTAAATTGTCAAAAAACCTGCTGGAAATCCAGGGCTTTCTTTGGGAGGTGGTGGTGGGGAATGACCAATTTTTGAAGAAAACAAACACTCATCTCAAAACCTGATGATTCTATTTCTTTCACTTATTTTTTGTTTTTTTGTTTAAGAAAATTTTACAAATCAGTTTCTGACATAGAGCTCTTCAGTGTTACTTGTTTTCTTCACCATCCACAACTCAGTTTCTGACAGAGCTCTTATGGAGCTCTACTTAGTCACACCAAGCCTCAAATCAATACAAAATTCTTTTCATCCTAACCATTATGGTGGAACTCTTACTGCATTTGGCATGTAAAGTATCACCGGCTACTAGCACATTGGCTTATAGTGCTTGTATTACTCGTGGCTATTTTTCGAGAATAGAAATTATTCCGTGTATTTGCTTGAGTCAGTTCCAAATTAGCAACTTTAGAGGGCAATTGGAGTTTGTACACAAATCTTATAAATACAAACTTTATGATTGAGATCCATTTATTGCAATAATATTGATCAAGAACTTCTAGATATGTGACTGTGTTTTATAGGAAGTGTATATATATGTATATAATAATAATAATCCTATAAAAGGCTAAGAATGTAACTCGTTAGGAGTAAACACCAAGTTTAATTAAGATCCATTTATTGAAATATTTTTGTAAATGGATATTCTTTTTTTTCTTTTTTTGTATTTTGTATTGTCTTAAATCTGTTCCGACTTAAAGAGTTGGTGTTCTTGTGCACTATTAACATTGAACTTCCCCCCCTTTTTATGAACCTTGATAATTCTTAAATAATTCAACTGTTTCTCTATGATCTGTGTGATAATGACTCAGAAAAAATTGGAGTTGTTCTGAATGATCACCATATGCGGGAGTCCGTTTTGAGGATTTAAAGCAATTCATGTTTTTTCTTTGCCCAGTTACTGTGCATACAACTGTACACATAACTGCACATACACCATTAGCAGGTGCGGTATATATAACCTAAAGCAATTCCAGGTCTGGTCAGATTACATTAGGTCATATTTTAATTATGTGCCTTGCTGTAATTAGTTTTAAGGTGCATCGTGATCCAGACTTGACAGATTTAATCAAACAAGATATTTAACTATCTTGATTTCCTTGACAAATGTAGGAGGTTCAATCCAATAAAAGGAGGAAAACTGAATTCAGTCCTGATGAGGTGGTCAAAGGTCAAGATCGAGCTCATCGTCTCCTACGGGAGATTACTGATATGTCATGGAATCAGTTTGACTTGAAGGAGGCTATGCGACATGCCCATAAACTGAGAAAAGATCTAGAGACTGATGCAGCTCACAACTATCCATGGCTCCAAAAGTTCTTCTGATGTCCATAAATACTCTTAATGCTAATGCAGTATATTGTGTATTTAAGTTCAGTGACAGGTTCTTGTATATCCTGTTGATCAAACTTTTGTTTTGGCCTTGGTTTTTGCTGCTTGTGGCCGAGGGGCCATATTCTACTCTGCGATGATGTAGAGTAGGATTTTCAACATTGTATAAAAACATTTAGGCGCTTATATTTAGTATTTTCGTTTTAGATCTTATAGACGTATCCTTGTTCAATGAGATTTTCCTTGTGCCGTGTTTCAAGAGATATAGGGGATGCAAATTCTTTTTGGCGCGACATTTATTCACGTTTGTTTTTTCAGTTAAGAGTAATTTAGGGATGTTGAAAGCAATGCTCGTAATAGAAGAAATGAATGAGATATTTTTTTTATTATTAACATTCCCTTCATATTGGTCACCTGATCAGAAAGAATGCAATTAGCGTGTTTTCAACTGAAAGAGTTAAACTGAAGAAGACACCTGGAGCGTTTCATGTACCGTAGAGTTGTAATAGTCAAACTACCACAATCTAATCACATGGCCGAGTTGTCTATCTTCCCCTGTCAGAATCGCAAGAAAGCATGCATTCATCCGTTTCTCGCTTGGATGCGATGATAGTTGACAATTGAAGTGGGCGGTTCCATTTACCTACATCCATATGCCTCTCCACTAAGAATTTAGCGTGGAATTAACAATAATAAAAAGCAAAATCCACGGCATATGGAGCCTCATGAAGTGGCAGCCACCACCGCCTTCTCAAAAGTCAACTACGCACGGCCTCGACGCGTTGCGCACATTATCATTCATTCTTCATCTCAACTTATTAGTCAACTCCCCTAATGAAAACACGCTAGCTGGAATTAATAGGTTAATTGACAAATTAGCAAATTTTATTTTGAGAGGAAGCTTAATTAACAACTAATATATGGCTGTTAGTGCTTCCAATGAGCACGTATTTTTGGACGTTAGTGCTACCAAGGAGCACATATTTTTGGTACCGATCCAAGTTTGACCGATCCCTAGCTCAATAATAAGATAAAAGGTTGGGCACGAATTGTTCTGACTTTGATTTCTATCAAACCATTCAACTATTATTTTATTGCAGAAAGAGTAATAACTCCGTTATATCAGGTTCATAAGTACAATTTTATTTGAGCATAAAGAATATGTTCATATCGCTTCAAAAGAGCTGTATTTTCTTTTTTCTTTTTGTTTAATAAAGGCACTTTGGTTGTTTTTGGTTAAACGAGAGGAGAAGTACCGTAGCAAGGAGGTGGAATACTAGCTTTCCTTTCATTTGATCTCAAATTGAAGTAAAATTATGAGAACACATCACCTTTTCTTTATCTGCCAAATAGCGTAAAGTGGGGATGTTTCTGTAGCCTGACAGCCACACAACTATCCCCACTTTACCCCTACCCCTACAAAAACGAGCAAGCAAACAACCTCTTAATCTCTGGAGGATTTATTTGATTTAGCTCTCAATATATATTCTAAAATATAGGAGGTAATGACAATAACCATAAAAAGAAGGGGCGAAAAAAGAAAAGAAAAAAAAAGCTAATCTAGATTCTTGTCTAAGACATCATACCCCTGCTAGATGGTCATCCACGTAATGTTTGGCAAATTATCATATTGAAAGGAAGATACTCATACAACCATAAGACAAACAATGTACGTACTTTCGAGTTTATTCTACAAACCCTTCCATGCAGTTCATTCTAAATACGGAAGTAATATGCAACGATGACAGATTTTCATGGATTAAGGAGATGTAACAAGATGTTCCAATAATAGGAATCTCAAAGTAATGTATTGTTGATGAAAATAGATTGTAGAAATAGTAGGTGAGGATAGACCCCAAATTACTAAGAACAGAAGAGGAAAAAAAAAAGATAATAATCATTGAACTCCGGGTTATTGCTACAAAAGAGATACTCAAGATTATTTGGCAAGTATATATCAACCAGATTATCTAACATATTATGCTATCTCACATGAGAATCTTTCATATTGAGCAGAGCTACCAAGGACCATATATTGATAGGAAGAAAGGTGCCACGTACGTAGATTGTTGTCAAGGCAATAGGAAAGGGGCTTAACAATAAATAAATCTTTTAAATTAAGCTTCCATGTTCTAAATTAGTGTTCCAAAATTTCAGAGTAATTTCTAACGAATCAAGATTCAAAAACAAATATTTATATCATGCTAGACTTTCCAAATTATAAAGCAAAAACAAGAAGAGATTAACTGCCGAACTTATGGTCCCCAACCCCTGATGCTATTAACTAAGTTTTATGAAGGTGAAAGATCCTTGGCGACATTTACCGCGCGCATGCGGTTTCATCAAATGCAGTACCAAGTAATCACAGTCAACACGCATCCGGTAGCGGTTTATTCAATTATTCATCAGGACTTTACATAAGTTCTCGCATCGACGTGCCGTTGCAGTCACTCATACGCTGCAACTTACATTAATATATTTGCTTTCATTTCGACAGGAGAGCGCAGAAATTATGTAACGTAGAATTTAAATAAAGAGTTCAAAATAGCTCCAGACCCGACACACTTTCTCAAAGTGCGCTAGCGATCGAGGCGAATAATGGACAATAATAACAACTCATATGCTTTGTCTTCTCATATCCCTNTCTTTCCCTTTTTCTTTTAATTTATTTTCTTAATTTGCATACTAGGCTTAATTGCAACGAGAACTAAATCCATACCCACCGCGTTTCTTCCTCATCATTTTATGTTAGACCTAACCCATCCCTACAAAATCCTGATAAAATAAGGAGAAATAATTGGGGTCTTTGATATTTATTATTGCCCAAAAATGAATTACATGTTATGCGCGCGATACATTTTAAACAGAAAAACAAAAGACCTATAAATGGCAGTGGAACTTTTATGTATCAAAACTGAAAAAAAAAACACTTTATGGTACCATGAAGTTAAAAAATTATAAACTTAGGATGCAAGAGTGCAAATAATCTTACAGATTATAGTAAGCAATATATATACATATATAATAATAGATGTATATTCCACATGAAATACAATATTTATCAAACAAAACTATTTTTAAAAGAAATCGGATAAATGGGAGAAAAATTTTCAAACAGAAGCCAGAGCCTAACCCGATTAGGCAGTAAAATGTTGCAGATGTAAGGTGAGGGGTTTTCAGATAACCTTTTTGGTCAAGGGGTTCAATCTAAATTCAAGCTCAAATTTGGGGGCTATACGCAATTTCTCCTTACATAATTCGGAACTCAATCAATCCTAGCAAATTGGCCAAACGGGGGAGAATTAAAAACAAAGAAAAAAGGTCAATCCTGGCAACTGAAATATGATAAATACACATGAACATACAATACTCTTCCAACCAATAAAAATACAACAGATTATTGGAATATCGATCATCAATATTTGGTATAAGCTAGCTTCACCTTCTTTCATAAGCTTACTAAGAATGTAACCGAGACACATATGAATGAGATCTCATGCATGGTATATCTCTCTGAACTATACGTGCACGGTGCACCTTTCTCTTCAATTAATGGTGCAAAGGATTTGGGCCCGTGGGCACTAATCTCTTCTCCACACCATACCGTGGATCAATCTCATTGCCTTCATCAACGGGCGGGCTCAAATTCGCACCAGTGGGTAGTCTCATCTCATTGCTATCCGTCGAACTTTGCGGATTCGACTCAATAATTTCAACAGGTGAAGAATTGTGCAATTGGTGGCCATGACGATGGTGTTGGTGATGGTGGTGGTGGTGGTGGTGGTGGTGATGATGGGATTCACTCGCTAACACCCTTCGCGCAACAAAGATATAAGGAGTGTGATTCGTAGCGGTCGTGTTAGGCCTCAGAACACTCCAACCATGAATGAAGAACAAGAGAAAAGCGAGACAAGGAAGAAGATGTCTTATTGCCATGGAAGAGAGAAGAATTGACGAGAATAGGATGAGAGAGTAGGAGTCATGGGGAACCGGATACAAGAGAGAAAATTAAAGAGAGAGGGAGGGAGTTGAAGGGAGTCTGAAGTATTGACAGCTTGAGGCTCGTCGGTTGTATATAGAGCAAAGGGTAGCTTATTTGTTGGTGATAGATTGAATAATTAGTTTAAATAAATGGGGGACTTGGGAGTAATTGGGGCCTTTTTATGCGGAGAAAGAAAGAGAGGGAGCAGAGACCCGCATTGGTCGACCCTTTTCCAATGGGAAGCAAAATCTTGACGTCTAAGAAAGAGGGTAATTAAAGGGAGCAAGGACTTCTACTGCTACTACTGTTCCATCTTCTACTCAAGTGTCAACTCTTAAGCTTTTTTAGGCTTAGTATTTTCTGCAATAATTAAAGAAAGTGGTTGGCCCCTTTCAAATATATATATATATTCCACTTATAAAGGAACAAGGGATTGGTCAGGGAGTTGACTTGTTTTTTAACACAAAGGGGTTCAAGTGTTGAAAATATTTGGGTTGCTGGATTAGTAGATGAAATATAGGATTATTTGAAGATGTACCTCATATGGTATATGGATGTAGCTATTGATCATCCGTTTTCTATTTTACTTGCAAATCCACCGGTGTGGCTTTCGTAACGGTGTTATTTTTCCATTAGTTTTTGAACTTACAGTACATCTCATGGAAATATTGCTACCGAGTGCCGTAACTCTAGCTATCAAATGACTACTATGGGAGCTTAGAAAGTAAAAGGGGCGCAAAAAAGCATTGCGATGGGGGCAGGGGATGCTTGCACTTTTGATGAAATTTTGATAATAAGTGGATATATTCTCATAGTACAAGAGTACACCTACAGATAATTCTAAAATATATTATGAATGCATCTTAAAAATGGTATACGTTTACTCGTTAAAGAAATATGTATGAGTGTGTATATATCATCATATAATAAAAGAAATATGGCAATCTCTGTTGTATCATATAATAAAGGAAAACAACACTGTGATTATGTCATGATTCATTTGTATACTATGTGCATTACACTGAGTAATCTTTCTAAAAATATTGTTAGAAATTGTTTAATCGGCTGAGGGTGTTAATGCCGTCTTAAAGTAGCTAGTAATCCCAAAAAGGAATATAAAAGTTAAATAAGGCTAACATTTTGGGGGTAATGCTCATGTTTCACAATGAGGTTGCTTTAGAAAAACACCATCTTCTTCGCCTACTTTTTCCCGTCGACAAGATTTCAGGGTCC